GGGGCCTGCTCAAAGAGGGAGCAAGGCAGAATAAGTTGTCAATGCATGAAAGAGACCCTGTGTGAGAGGCGGGTAGTATGAATGCGTGTGAAACTGAGGCCTGAAGAGGCCTAAGCTGGTCTGGCTGTAAGCCAGGAGCAATGTGTCATCTAGATGCCACCTGTGAGGCTTGGGCTGCGGTGTAGGGAAGGAACGGAGCCGCAGATAGTGCCCCCTGGCATTGGGGCAAGAATAGGCAGCCTCCTGCCTTAATTAACAAACTTAATTAATTACCACCAAGGCATGGTGGGCGAGACAGGCAGGTGGCAAGCCCAAAGGCAAGTGGGTCAACTAGCACTGTGGCTAGTCGGGGAGTCCTGCTTTGCCACATACAGGTTAGCAAACAATAGATCTGTTGGGCCCCATCTACATGGTACAGGTATCATGCAGTTAACTGGTTCATTGAGCAATTACCTTAAGACCAGCTACATGTGCAAAGTAGCTATCATGCCATAAAAAGATCCAACCAACTATAAAGTTAGACCTCAAAAATGTGTACTAATTTCATAGGTGGATGTTATTAGCTTTAATTTGCACCTACAACAGGATCTCCCCTGGGGCTGGGAGCCCTGTCAGCTGATGGATGCTGAGTCCTGCAGCTCTAAACACTGAGTCCTGGCACCTGGGAGGCACAGCTGCCCCAGGGATGCGTGAAACTCCCAGGCCTGGGGAATCATGGCAGCTGCAATCTCCCAGGCTTAGGGGTATGTGAAACCTCTGAGCCTGGTAGATCACTGCTTCCACAATCCATCAAACCCAGAGGCGCATGACGCACCCCTGGAGCTTGAAACTCCTTAACTGAGGGGCTTCCCAGCCAAGGGAGATTGCTTCTTGCCAGCGCAGAGGAGCCAGTTTGTGGCATATCAGGGTGCACAGTTGTGTGTATCATGCATTAGAGGCCATCAAGTCTTTACTTGCACATGTTGAGGGGGCCCTGGAACACTAAATAGCAATAAGCAATAATTGAAGAAGGGAAGTAGGTGGAAGGTAATATTAAGATTTTTGCTGTTAGGTGAGGACTTATAGAAAGCAGTAACAATGGAATGGAACTCACTGATTTCTGGTTTCTATGGCAAAAAGGAATTGGATGGGTGGAGAAAAATTATCCAGTGGAAGCAGGAACTCAGAGGAGACTCCAGCACTTAACTGGAGGCAAGGCACCAGAGAAAGCTATGGAAGAATGAAGTTACAGCACCTAGGCCCAGAGCAATCATGTGCTTTGCCAGGATATGTAACAGAGTAGTGGCTGCCAAGTCATATACCCTAGTGTAGCAAACAGCAGCAGGTAGAGAACATAGTACTGGGATCTGAATGGGTAACCAGGCCCAGTCACATGATAGCATGTATTTTAAACCTCTGAAATCTGTATTTTTCCTATTGATATGAGCAAAGATGAATCCAGCAAAATGAACACATTCATGTACAAATCAAAGGCAGCTCAGGTAACCCCTAAATTCAAATCCACTTCTATAATGAGCTGACTAAGAAATGACAAGTGATCTCAAAATGCATCTATACTCAATGAGTCACTATACAACACAAAACTAAAAGTAAGACTTGATGACAGGGCTCCATTCTCTCACCACAGGATTAAGTAACTTTAAGTGTAACTTGCTTATATCATATGCTAGGAGAATGATGTGCAAAACACCATCAGCCCATGCATTCAATTCAACAGATTATTTTCTATACTCTAGAAAATTGTGCAAATACATTTACTGACTGATCATTTCCATTCTCAAACATTCCCTGTATCGGTATCTAACTAGTTTCTTTACCAACCTGCTTGAAACATTTTTAATGAACGCAAACTATTACTTTTGGAAATATGCATTGCCTCTGAGTGCGAATTTATCATTAATTTATTGGCTGGAATGGTTTAGTTAGGGACAATCCTGCCTTGTGAAGTGAGCTGGACTAGTTGACCTCACAAGGTCCCTTCCAACCCTACTTTTCTGTGGTCTTATTAATATTTATATTCACATACCTCCTAAAGAAACATCAGATTTGAAATTTAAGACTGTTCTCTAAATGCAATTATTTGAAATCCTTTCAAAATCCCTATTTACATGGTAGAGTTTTGTTGGCAATAAAATATTTAACTATAATACATTAATTACAAAAAGAAAACTTCACAGTCAGATGTATTCATAATAAAAACTTGTCACCTCAAATATTGTATTTTAACAGAAAAGCAGTAAAGAGATGTTTTTATACTTTTAGAAATGATACACTAACAGCTACTTTTAGGAAAGTTATACTGGATGGGACAGGACTGGATTGGTAAAGAGCATGATTAGTACATAAGACTCGTGCATGAGCATGCGCGCACACACACACATACACACACACACTCTTTCAAATTCAAATACAAAGTTATTCAGATGTGTTGTACCTCTACTCTGGTATCAAACTTCATTACTGCATTGGGGGTGAAGTAGATCTTGAGATCAGAACAGCCTCCCACAGGTATTATGCCCTGAGATGGCACGATAGTCATTCCAGGTACAGGGTTTGAATCAAGAACCTTCAAATCCAAATAATATGCAATGTTGATACTGCTGTAAAGGTATGCTATAAACAGAATTTACGATAGTGAAACTAAATTCTTTGGAATGGAGACTATGTAATCTTCATAAAATTATGAATCTGAAAACTGTAGGTCAAAATTTCAGCTATTTGAAATGTAATTCATTTCCAGGGACCTAAATAAATGACCAGATTATACTGTTTCTGTAACCCAGGTTTGTAACTTTTGGGTTTGATTTCCCCTCCCCCCACAAAAGCAGCGTTTCATAGCATTAGAAAGTAACAGCTCAACAAAACTCCAGAATATCCAATACAGTGTTTATTCCAATAATCAGAAGTGCCAATTTCTATATCATTATAGTACAAATATGGACTATAGGAACAGCTTCTTATTAAGAAAAGTTTTTTCTGCTTGCAAAATTCTTTGTTTAACTTCCCGGAGGCTATGTAAGCCTAAAAAGTTTCCTTTCTTATTTTGTACAGCATATTTTTGAACACTTAGCATGGTCTGGATGGCTGGATGTAAAGAAGACAGCATTATTAACAAAAGCAAACAACGAAGTTACAAGTTAAAACATCCATGTGAAGAAATAGCAGGAACTCCAATGAGAACATACAAATTACACAAGGGAGGAGTCTGATAAGGATAATTACACTGTGCAGAAAAAAAGAATTATTACCTAAAGAAAAAAAATTAACTGGGGACACTTCTAATAACTAAACATGAAAAAAATACAGAAAAAAGAAAACAGGTACAGCAGCTCTATTTCAAGTTCACCTGGAAGTATGCATGATTATATCCTGTGTTCTGAATAATGGCTGTCTTGCAAGTAGTTAAACCTAAAGGAGCGTGATGAAAAGATATCCTTTGTTCCATGAACTGAACACTAGTGGGACCTAGCTAATGAAAAGAAGAAAGCAAATATTTTAACACAACTCAATATAAATAAATAAGCCAATACATTTTAAATTCACAATGAGCTAGACATTGTCATAAATATGCATAAATTAAACAGATTAAGTGCACAAAAGCAAACTGTAAAGGAAAGGCAAGATATACCTATTTCATGAAAAATCATTTAGCTTCAAAGTAACCCCCCATAAAATCACAAAATAGAAATATATTGAAAATTAACATCTTTTCTGCATGATCCACTTAAAGTTCAGTGAGACCATTAGATTCAAAAATGAATTATTTGCAAACCATAGTGTAATTAGGAATTTTTCCAATGCAGTATCCCGATGAACTTTGTGAAGACATATATACATACCCATTCACCTACTAAACCATTTATTGTGGTTTGCTGAAAACAGCGTAGACCATGTACTTCTTTTCCTCACTTTTTGACCCAGCAAGATGTCATAATCCATTCCAAGCCTAGTATAGAATACCCTCCAGAAGGAGATAAATCTCTTCTATTTCAATCCTATCCTCTCCTACATCACTGTCTGGAAAGTCTGAACAGGCATGTGACTGGACTGTACATCCACACAGAACAAGTTCACAAGTGAGATGACAATTAGTTTTCCGTTAACTAATATACCACAGCACACATTATATAGTCTATCTAACAATACCAACCCAAGCACCCCACCAATAAAAAGAGGAACGTACTCAAAACTGATCAAGGAGCAGGGATATGGAGAGCAGGGTAGTGGAAGAATACATCTTATTGGACACTTTTCCTGAAGCCATATGTTGTTTAAGATACAGAATAGTGATGTTAAAATACATATATATCAATAAATAGTAAAATAAACATGACAAAGAAAATATTTCTATAGAAAAAGGCAACATATTAAAACATTGGATGAATACTACCTTTGCAAGGCATTTCAGCTTAAGTGTGTTTCCCTGATGCACATGTAAGTTGAATTCTCCTGTTTCTGGAGAACAGAAGCCTGGATGCCAAACCACTTCACACTCCAGATCTTTGTATGCTTCTACAATGCCTGCAAATATGCATAAATAATTACCCACTTAATCACTGAAATATAAAGAAGCCTAGTGAAGGTGATGGATTCATATTATTAGAGATTAACACTCTGATCTTCAAAGTTGCTAAGCAATATAATTAAATAGTTAAGATTAAATCTTATTTCTGAGTTTGCATAACAGCCACACAATCTGATTTGTCAATGAACTGCAACAAAATGTATTCACAAATTTGTTTTACATATGAATTAGTAAACTCATGTTACCTAAAGAGGATGTTTGAAAAAAAAATAAAAAGGATAGAAAAATCCATCACAACATATTTTAAATTAGAAATTACAGTTCTAAATAAGAAAAATGCCCATATTCACAGTGCTAACTCAGACTTAAACCTATCACAAAAATAAAGTACTGGTGTACATGGATTTTTGGATAATGCTTCTAACTAGTAACTAATAATGTAACTATATTCAGACAGTCTCAATCCCAGCCTTATCTTTCTGAAAGATAGATGGCACTCTGATTTCACTGAGGTTTAAGTTGTTCTGGTTTGACATTAATTTAATACTGGATAAGAGTGGACCTATGGAATGCTACCACACGTCAGCTGCAGCATGGTAAATTCCCACCCTTTATGAATCTACTGTAATTCATTTGTCCACAACCTAGGTTCTTAGGCACCTCCAGGTTTATATAATGAAAGCAGCCTGAGCAAATAATTCTGTTTGTGACACCTTTGGGCAGAAACAGATATTGCCTGACATCCCATTTGTGCTGCCATAAACATTTTTAGACCAGCACAAATGGTGAGAAAATAAACACCCATACCCTTTGCTGTGGCACATCAGAAGTAAATCAGTGGCACAAAAGGTAGTAAAATAACTTCTGGTGCTTTACTGTTCTTTGGAAGGAGAGTGAAGGTGGCCTAAACTGAGTTGTCTACACTACCTATCCACCTGAAGCAGGTGCTCCAGGAGCTTGAGGTCCCCTCCACCCCCAGAGCACCTGCCCAGCTTTCCCCACTTACAAAGAGGCACTCCAGGGAATCTCAGGATGCTTCTCTAAGTGTAAAAGTTGGGGCAAGTCTCCATAAGCAGATAAAGCCCACATGAGTCCCAACATGGAGGCATGGGAACCAAGGAATCCTCTGTGTCCCTGCCTCGCACTGGGACCCACTGACCCAGATCCAGAGTCTCTGGGGACTGCCTGGGTAAGTGGGAATTCCTGGCTTTCCCCATTTATGCAAATAGGTCCCTAGGGACCTCAGTGGTGGGTCTGGATAAGCAGGAAACATCTGGATATTCTTGCTTAACATGACCCGCCCAGGGATCTTCAGGGACAGGTCTAGGTCTAGGGGAAAGCCCAACTTTACCGGCTTACCTAGAGGTGCCCACAAAGATCCTAAGGGTGGGTTTGCATAAGCGGGGAAACACAGACTTTCCCCACTTACCCAGACCCACCCCCATTATTTCCAGGGATATGTCTGGGTAACAGAGCTAACAGAGACGTGGTGGGACTCGTCCCATGACTGGGC